GTATGAGGGAGAGTGAGTATTGTTGGTGAGTATAAGTGAGGGAGAGTGAGTATTGTTGGTGAGTATAAGTGTGGGAGAGTGAGTATTGTTAGCGAGTATAAGTGTGGGAGAGTGAGTATTGTTGGTGAGTATAAGTGAGGGAGAGTGAGTATTGTTGGCGAGGTAGTATCATAACCACCGGCCCAGGTTCGATACCCGTGCCACCCCTACCTGACGTCCGAATCGAGTCTCCTCTTGACGACTGTCCAATCCTGTCTCAAATCACGCAGTTACAGCCCCGCTCCTTGTGCCAGGTAAGTCCACTACGGGATCACCATAGCCCGTGCTACTTGGAACTTTTTGTTCCCAGTAGCTGAATCTATAACAACAACAACCTGTCTCAGACCATTATAATAACCTTCGAACCTGACATTTCTCGTGTACAATGTATCCGAGTTATAGATACATTGTATATCCAATGCAAGTTGCTACCAGCAACAGTTTTGTGTCTCAGTCTATCGTCAGGAAATCCGCGGTCAGGCACGGTAATTATGAAGAGGAGGGGGGGAGGGGAAGGGGGGGAGGGGAAGGGGGGGGGAATACAAATAAATAGCACTTGAAATGGCACTGGGATTGGACGAAGGAAAGGAATGGTGCCCAATCACGTGGCACATCTGGGGATCGAACGGCGACCCGCAAGAAGCGATGCTGTTGCTAGATCAACCAATCCAAATGCCGAATCTACCAATTCTTCCTTACCCTCTCATCTTCCCTATTCGTTATTTAACCATCTCACTCCACAATCCGTTGTCGCGATTAATAAAAAAAAGTTGTATGATAAGAATAGTTACAAAAGGGATTAGTATTCATGTTTTTTTTTATGTCATTAAAACAGCAATTGAAGCCGTTGACACGATTCTAACTCTCGAAATCACCCGAGATTGTGGTCCTTTGACTTTGCATCTTGTGAACTACAAGTCAATATAGAGGTAAGACGGATGCTTCACCGGGAGACTTGTGGATATCGAAGGGAAGTAAAGTCTGGAGAGTCTAGGATATCAGCTCTGATAACGACATCAGAGGTAGCGGCGGCGCCAGAGACATCACCCCCCCCCCTCCTACCAGCACCACCACTATCACCACCACCACTACCAACAACCACCACGACAAGCAAGCCCCAACAAGCACCACTATCAACAACAACAATATCACCCCCTACTAACCACTACCATCAACCACAGCTACCACCATCGCTGCAACCACATCATCACCACCACCACCACTACCAACAGCGCAACTACCACACCACAACCACCACATCCATAACTAACCACCAATAACCACCACCACTTCCACCACCATTGCAATCTCCCTCCAACATCACCACCACCACAATAGTGTCACCATTGCCAATACCACCAGTACCACCATCACTACCACCACCACTACCACTACCACTACCACCACCACCACCACCACCACCACCACCACCACCACCACCACTACCACCAGTACCACCACCACTACCACCACTACCACTACCACCACCACCACCACCACTACTACCACCAGTACCACCATCACTACCACTACCACCACCACCACCACCACTACTACCACCAGTACCACCATCACTACCACTACCACCACTACCACCACTACCACCACCACTACCACCACTACCACCACCACTACCACCACTACCACCACTACCACTACCACCACCACCACCACTACTACCACCAGTACCACCATCACTACCACTACCACCACCACTACCACCACCACTACCACTACCACCACTACCACTACCACCACCACCACCACCACTACTACCACCAGTACCACCATCACTACCACTACCACCACCACTACCACCACCACTACCACTACCACCACTACCACTTACTAGTACCAATACCACGAGTGGCTCCAGGTAACTATTATAATCCTAGGTGAACAGAAGCATCAGGTGAGAAGGGGGATATACGTGCCCAGCCCTTTCTGTCCTGGCCGAGGATCGAACCCCGGGTCTCCCGATTGAGGGTCGAGGCTGAAAACCGCAAAACCAGTCGAGCCTAACCTGATATCACCATGAAGATTACGCTGTTATCCTCTAGCTAGCATTTTTTAATTAAACATTCAGCATTTAATTAAAACTCCAAGAGGCGGTCAGACACATGGCTGTTAGAGTTCACCACTAGTAAATGCAAGACAATGAAGATGGGTAAATGGAACAGGCAGATTTGACACAATCTACATCATGTGGGAAAGCGATATCCATAAAAATAGAAAAAGAGATGGAAACGTGAGATAATTACATCGATAACAGGATAACAAAATAAAAGGATAACATCGGCGAAGCTGCCACAGATGAGAAGTTTTTAAAAATCCTAATGAGTATTTAAAGTTTTAAAAGTTTTAAAAGTTTAAAAAGAGGAAGTTTTTAAAAATCCTAATCTTTCAAGGGAATATGTTCACTACATACAAAATCCTCAATAAATAAGGGGGGGGGGGAGAACAGATTCTTTAAATTGGGAGAAAAATATGGGTGGTTACACAGGTGGAATACAATGAAAGAAGTTGTGGAAGCCTCCTCCACCTATAACTTAAAATAAGAAAAGGGCTCAAGGAGCTAGGGAGCTAGAACACTCCTAGTAAATACTAGTAGGCAAGTACTGGTAGGTAAGCACAGCTAACAATAGTTCACTACAAGCTAAAACTACCGTCACTTGCAATTGTGAATACAATCATCACTAACTATCATTACTGCTGTTAAGGGTGATTATCAGCTACCATAACCACCACTACCACCATCACCCAATTACCACCATCATAAGTACCACCAACTACCACAACCTACATCATTATATTCATCACCAACAACCACTAACCACTATCCACCATCACCAACCACCATCAGACACAAGCAACTATCACCACAAGCATCAACAACAGTCACCAGCATCACTACCACCATCCACCACCATCACCACCGAGTACCACCACCACCATAAGCGTGTTCACTCCCGGGGCTCACGCTAGAACAGATAAGCTGCTTGTTCAACTTCTTATCACTACACGTCCATAGAAGATGTGTTGGTACGGTGCTCGGCTTAGGGAGAGAGAGAGAGAGAGAGAGGGAGAGAGAGAGAGAGAGAGAGGGAGGGAGAAAGGGAGGTGTCCAGCTTATAGAAAGGGAGGGGAAAGGGAGGGAAGGAAGATTTAAGAGAAGGAAAGTAGAGAAGGAATAGGGATATCTACTTCTTATGTAGAAGGAGGGAGAGAGAGGGAGAGAGGAGTCTTGGTAGAGGAACAGAAAGGGGAGGGATAATGAGCCTGTTATGTTCTCCATCATGTTCTCTTATCTCTTGTGCAGTGTTCACTGTTCTATCTTGTGTTCTGTTGTTCCGTGTTCTCTTGCACGGCTTGTGCTCCGCGTTGCTGTGTCTGCTTCATTCAGTTTCCGGTAAATTCAAGTTCTTTAGCTTGCGAGGATGATTTCGGGGCTCAACGTCCGCGCGGCCCGGTCTCCGACCAGGCCTCCTCCATTTGCAAAGTCCCATCCCCCCCCTCTCTCTCCTAACACAAGAACTACAGGAATCTCAGAAAACCTATTGGCCCACACACGCATTTCAAACTCATTCATATGTCTGTCTAACCTACGCTGGAAACAATCAAGTGACCCCCAGTATGTTGCCTAAAAGTGGGGGGGGGGTTGCCATGAAGTGGTGTTAGTCAGTAGTGGAAATGGCGTCGTTTATCGGGTAGTGAGAGCCAGGTGTCAGGGTGCTGGGAGTGCACATGTGCTCAGGTCTGAGAAAGAGAGATACATGAACACTTTAGCTTTGGAGGAATATGCAGTGTGTGTGTGTGTGTGTGTGTGTGTGTGTGTGTGTGTGTGTGTGTGTGTGTGTGTGTGTGTGTGTGTGTGTGTGTGTGTGTGTACTCGCCTAGTTGTACTCACTTAGTTGTGCTTGCGGGGGGTTGAGCTTTGTCTCTTTGGTCCCCGCCTCTCAACTGTCAATCGACTGATGTACAGGTTCCTGAGCCTACTGGGCTCTATCATATCTACATTTGAAACTGTGTATGGAGTCAGCCTCCACCACATCACTTCCTAGTGCATTCCATTTACTAACTACTCTGACACTGAAAAAAATTCTTTCTAACGTCCCTGTGGCTCATTTGGGTACTAAGTTTCCACCTGTGTCCCCTTGTTCGCGTACCACCCGTGCTAAAGAGTTTGTCTTTGTCCACCCTGTCAATTCCCCTGAGAATTTTGTAGGTGGTTATCATGTCTCCCCTTACTCTTCTGTTTTCCAGGGACGTGAGGTTCAGCTCCTATAGCCTTTCCTCGTAGCTCATACCTCTCAGTTCCGGGACGAGTCTGGTGGCATACCGCTGAATCTTCTCTAACTTTGTCTTGTGTTTAACTAGATATGGACACCAGGCAGGAGCTGCATATTCCACGATTGGTCTGACATAAGTGGTATACAGGGTCCTGAACGATTCCTTACACAAGTTTCTAAAGGCAGTTCCTATGTTGATGCAATTGAAAGAATTATCTTGTCCAATTTTCGCCTGAACAACTGCACGCATTTTCTTGTTTAATTGATTCTCTGGATTGAATCAATGATTAAATCTTTGCTTTAGATACTTTCATATAGTTTGATACAAAAGATTCACATCTGATCCAATTCTCTTGATGAACTTGAATCTCTGCTGCTGAACCGAATTCCATTATCTTGTTTGTCATTTGATTAGGCTTGAAGAGCTTTATTGAGAGTTAATATTGCGGGACAGTTCCTGTGGTAATAAAGTATGGAATCTCCTTCTCCTTCTTGTTGAAATTCTGGAATCATATTATTCTTCTTCTTGTAGAAATTTTGGAATTACACTCGTTTTGTAGCAATGTTTGTCTGACTGAAATCGTAATCTTTTTCTTGTGGAAAGTGTGGAATCAAATTCAGGAGGCTACTGGTTACTACTGGAGGTTGCTGGTGGCTACTGAAGGCTACTGGATGCTACTGGTTGGTACTGGAGGCTGCTGGTGGCTACTAAAGGCTACTAGAGGCTACTGCAAGCTGCTGAAGGCTACTGCAAGCTGCTGGAGGCTACTGCAAGCTGCTGGAGGCTACTGCAAGCTGCTGGAGGCTACTGAAGGCTACTGGAGTCTACTGCAAGCTGCTGGAGGCTACTGCAAGCTGCTGGAGGCTACTGCAAGCTGCTGGAGGCTACTGCAAGCTGCTGGAGGCTACTGCAAGCTGCTGGAGGCTACTGCAAGCTGCTGGAGGCTACTGCAAGCTGCTGGAGGCTACTGCAAGCTGCTGGAGGCTACTGCAAGCTGCTGGAGGCTACTGCAAGCTGCTGGAGGCTACTGCAAGCTGCTGGAGGCTACTGCAAGCTGCTGGAGGCTACTGCAAGCTGCTGGAGGCTACTGCAAGCTGCTGGAGGCTACTGCAAGCTGCTGGAGGCTACTGAAGGCTACTGGAGTCTACTGCAAGCTGCTGGAGGCTACTGAAGGCTACTGGAGTCTACTGCAAGCTGCTGGAGGCTACTGCAAGCTGCTGGAGGCTACTGGAAGCTGCTGGAGGCTACTGCAAGCTGCTGGAGATTGCTCGAAGTTACCTGATTGATGGTCTTTGGGTTTAGCTGGGGTCATCTTTGGGTCATATTGGGAGGTCATGTTGCTTGTTCTGCTGTTCACTGATCAAACATTACATCCAGCTTGCAAACAAAACAAACAAATGAATGTAATGAATTACACTTGGTTGAAGCTACTCTTAAATGTTACTTTTGTAGTCTGATAATCATAAATCACATGTGAGTTTTTACTTATCACTTATCTTAAAAAAAAACTTTAAGTATGTTCATGAAATGACAGCTCATATAAGCGACGGACGTGGATATCAGTGAACTCAGAAAGAAGAAACTGTTTAGTGTTTTTTAAATAATCTTGAAATTAGATTATAGCGCCGACTTGACATTCATCATAATGATGTCTTTCAGGTAAGCGCATATCTTAAAGATTAGAGGATTGGTAGTGTTGCATCTTGAAAGTATGTGACTGATTCAGATAAACTAAGTTTTTTTAGGCTTTTCCTGAACATAATCAAGCAAAAAAAAAAATAGTAAAAATTGCGTTAATGTTTTAAATCATTATTATGAATAAAGGATAAATAATTGGAAATATTTGACGCAGTCACACGTGAATATGCAAAATGCAATCAAATTCGAATTTAAAATTGAGACAATACGAACCTAACTAGAAGGAAGGGACGTTAAACGACCTGGGAATAATAATTTTTGTTTTGTTTAAGAGCTATCATATATCCCTGCTGATTGGTCAATAGAAATTTTGGAATTACACTAGTTTTGTAGAAATGTTTGTATCGTATTTTTTTTTTTAAAGAAAGTCTGAAATCGTAATTTTTTTTCTTGTGGAAAGTGTGGAGTCAAATTCAGGAGGCTACTGGATGCTACTGGTTGCTGCTGGAGGTTGCTGGTGGCTACTGAAGGCTACTGGATGCTACTGGTTACTACTGGAGGTTGCTGGTGGCTACTGGTTGCTACTGGAGGTTGCTGGTGGCTACTGAAGGCTACTGGATGCTACTGGTTGCTGCTGGAGGTTGCTGGTGGCTACTGAAGGCTACTGGATGCTACTGGTTGCTGCTGGAGGTTGCTGGTGGCTACTGAAGGCTACTGGATGCTACTGGTTGCTGCTGGAGGTTGCTGGTGGCTACTGAAGGCTACTGGATGCTACTGGTTACTACTGGAGGTTGCTGGTGGCTACTGGTTGCTGCTGGAGGTTGCTGGTGGCTACTGAAGGCTACTGGATGCTACTGGTTACTACTGGAGGTTGCTGGTGGCTACTGGTTACTACTGGAGGTTGCTGGTGGCTACTGAAGGCTACTGGATGCTACTGGTTACTACTGGAGGTTGCTGGTGGCTACTGGTTGCTGCTGGAGGTTGCTGGTGGCTACTGAAGGCTACTGGATGCTACTGGTTACTACTGGAGGTTGCTGGTGGCTACTGAAGGCTACTGGATGCTACTGGTTACTACTGGAGGTTGCTGGTGGCTACTGAAGGCTACTGGATGCTACTGGTTACTACTGGAGGTTGCTGGTGGCTACTGGTTGCTGCTGGAGGTTGCTGTGGCTACTGAAGGCTACTGGATGCTACTGGTTACTACTGGAGGTTGCTGGTGGCTACTGGTTGCTGCTGGAGGTTGCTGTGGCTACTGAAGGCTACTGGATGCTACTGGTTACTACTGGAGGTTGCTGGTGGCTACTGGTTGCTGCTGGAGGTTGCTGTGGCTACTGAAGGCTACTGGATGCTACTGGTTGCTACTGGAGGCATCTGTATTACGTTGGCCCTAATAATCTTACCGCGGTTCAAAGGCCTCAAAAGCCCAACATCGAACCCACAACCTTAATTGCAGATGACCTAGGCAGCAGCATCACCACGTGGTCGGGGAAAGAGCATTGGCGCAGCGGTCAAAGCACTGAGCAGGCAACCGCCCCTTTGAGGGGTTCGTGGCTCAAACCAGCGGGCAGAAAAACGGCGTGGGACTTGCAGCCGGTTTGAGCAAGTGAGTGTACTAATGGCCACATTCGTGAAAGAAGCAACCGGTACATCAATATCGCGGGGAAATCATGAGCGTTGAGTCTTGAGTGTGACCGTTGTGTGGTCAAGGAGCAGCTATGGCTGGGAGCCGGTTGGCCGAGCGGACAGCACTCTGGACTTGTGATCCTGTGGTCCCGGGTTCGATCCCAGGCGCCGGCGAGAAACAATGGGCAGAGTTTCTTTCACCCTATGCCCCCTGTTACCTAACAGTAAAATGGGTACCTGGGTGTTAGTCAGCTGTCACGGGCTGCTTCCTGGGGGTGGAGGCCTGGTCGAGGACCGGGCCGCGGGGACACTAAAAGCCCCGAAATCATCTCAAGATAACCTCAAGATGGCTGGTCTTAGGAATCACTGGAGCAGGAATGAAACGCTTGAGCGAATGCCGAAGCCTTCGTAAGCCTAAGCAGCTGTGTGGTTATCTTGTGGTTGTCTTGAGATGGTTTCGGGGCTTAGCGTCCCCGCGGCCCTGTCCTCGACCAGGCCTCCTTTTTGTTACGCATTCCCCCAGGGAGCAGCCCGTAGCAGCTGTCTAACTCCCAGGTACCTATTTACTGCTAGGTGAACAGGAGCATAAGGGTAAAAGATACTTTGAAAGAACATATGAATAGAAACATTAGAAAGAACTTTTTCATGGAGTGATGTGGAGGAGGCTGAGACTCCATACACAGTTTCAAGTGTAGATATGACAGAGCCCAATAGGCTCAGGAATCTGTACACCAGCTGATTGACTGTTGAGAGGCGGGACCAAAGAGCCAGAGTTCAATCCCCGCAAGCACAACTAGGTGAGTACTACCAATCCACCAGCAACCACTACCAATCCACCAGCAACCACTACCAATCCACCAGCAACCACTACCAATCCACCAGCAACCACTACCAATCCACCAGCAACCACTACCAATCCACCAACAACCACTACCAATCCACCAGCAACCACTACCAATCCACCAGCAACCACTACCAATCCACCAACAACCACTACCAATCCACCACTAACCACCTCAACTACCCTACCAACAACCATCCAGCAACAACCCAACAAGGAACCAGCCACCGTCGCCGCTACACACATGCTGCATATCATATATAATTCGTATATATAATATAAGCCATAATATAAGATATATTACGCCAGCGAACACGTAAGACGTATCCTACAAGGGGCAGCAAACTGGTAAGCTTTAAGATCTGTAAGACAACTAAGAATATCTCCTATTGCTGTAACGTAAAACTTACGCTTTAAGTTACATAAATTATATAGATTTTTCTGTATTTTATCCGTCAATAATTTGTAAATATTTACTTGGCAACTATCACTGTGACGCAGCATCCTCCTCCGCCACTCTCGTCAACACCTGCTTATGACGTAGCCCGTCGTTAACCAATCAGCAGCGCTCCAAACGGTCTGCCCGCTATGACGTCATGAGCTTCTTGGCCAATCACCGCGCGAATTTCGGCCAGCTGGGGAAGACTGATGTAATTAGAATCTTGAATCCCGCTTATCGGTCTTGGAAGATGTTGTTTGTTCCTTGAGAACAAAAGCAGCTGTTGGGAGGACTGTCTCGTCTCGTACTCCACCATGTTTTTATAATGAGGGACTTGACCTACACAGCAGTTGTCTATGTTTATATATATATATATATATATATATATATATATATATATATATATATATATATATATATATATATATATATATAATATAATATAATTTATGATTAATCATTATGATCAATCCACCAACCCCAACAACCACTACTAATCCCCAAGAAGCACTACCAATCCACCAAGAACCACCACCCAATCGACCCAAGCGGGCATTCCTGCTTTGGATAGCGACACTCAGGCTATCTTCTATCTTGAGGTTATCTTGAGATGATTTCGGGGCTTTGTAGTGTCCCCGCGGCCCCGTCCTCGACCAGGCCTCCACCCCCAGGAAGCAGCCCGTGACAGCTGACTAACACCCAGGTATCTATTTTACTGCTAGGTAACAGGGGCATAAGGTGAAAGAAACTCTGCCCATTGTTTCTCGCCGGCGCCCGGGATCGACCCCGGGACCACAGGATCACAAATCCAGCGTGCTGTCCGCTCGGCCGACCGGCTCCTAGGCGCTTGAAGAGAAAACTTGCTGCTCTAGGGTCTCTGCGGATCAAGACGTGTGCCTGTCGCAGACATAGGGACTGCCAAAAGGAAGTCCCCTGCATGGGGAGCCTGCACAGCTGTGAGGCGTGCACGATCACTGGGGGTTGTTGCTGCCTCCAACAAAGCTGTGGCTTCTTTGTCTACAATGAGGCTGTCCCAACTAGATTGTTTCTTGGCTTTCGGCATGGTTGGTCTGAATGCTATATATATATATATATATATATACATGCGAACAAGCCTGAATGGTCCCCAGGACTATATGCAACTGAAAACTCACACCCCAGAAGTGACTCGAACCCATACTGCCAGGAGCACTGTGCTGGCGTACAGGATCCCTTTACCGTTCGACCAACACGATCGGACAAATGAGGATGGTAGCCGAGGCTATTTCCATCCCCCCCCCCCCCCCCCAGCCTTGTACCGGCACTCCATTGGTAATCTTGGGCATGGTATTTTATCAAATCACCTCATTCTTTGGGGCACACGTGAGGAACACAAATGCGAACAAGCCTGAATGGTCCCCAGGACTATATGCAGTTATATATATATATATATATATATATATATATATATATATATATATATGTCGTACCTAGTAGCCAGAACGCACTTCTCAGCCTACTCTGCAAGGCCCGATTTGCCTAATAAGCCAAGTTTTCATGAATTGTTTTTCTCTAATTTTTTTCTTATGAAATGATAAAGCTACCCATTTCATTATGTATGAAGTCAATTTTTTTTTATTGGAGTTAAAATTAACGTAGATATATGACCGAACCTAACCAACCCTACCTATCTTTATAGGTTAGGTTAGGTTAGGTAGCCGAAAAAGTTAGGTTAGGTTAGGTTAGGTTAGGTAGGTTAGGTAGGTTAAGTAGTCGAAAAACAATTAATTCATGAAAACTTGGCTTATTAGGCAAATCGGGCATTGCATAATAGGCTGAGAAGTGCGTTCTGGCTACTAGGTACGACATACATATATATATATATATATATATATATATATATATATATATATATATATATATATATATATATATATATATATATATATATATATATATATATATATATATATATATATAAAGATTCCCCTTATTATTAAGGGGAATCTGTCATAATAATTGTAACGTTGGTTGATGTAAGGAGACCTCGTCGACGACCGGGCCGCGGGATCGCAGAGTCCCGAAATCACCAAGGTAACTAGGCCATTTAGGTGTGCCGTTATATAGCTAGATTTTAGCTATATTTCAGAACTGAGGAGCAATTATGCATATATTGTTTTCTTATTAGAATTGATACCTCCCTCGTTATTAAATAGACATTATAGACGTGTGTATTAGATATGTAATGAAAAGTTATAATATATATATATATATATAATATATTAGAAAGCCATAACACACAGTATATCAGTGAGGTTAATATAATATCTGTACTGAATTTGACCTAGATATATTCTTATATATGTCGTATATAAATATATATCTATCATATCTTGACAGTCAATATGCCTCATTCTTTTTTTTTAACTTCAACTTGTTCTAGCCTAAGTTTGTAGTTAGGCCTCTTAGTTTGAGGTTAGGCCTCTGCCCAAGGCACCAGATGCTGTTTGGATACCCAGAACCATATCTTCCCAATAACATGCGTCTTCCAAGTGCCTTAAATCCCAAATTACTGCTGCGTTAACGGGCTATTCATGCCCGTGCCACCTCTTGGGTGGCATAATCTTCATTAATCTACCGCTGCTGCGTGATTGAGGTCGACTATCTAAGCGAGGGAACAGCCTAATCATCCAAAGCTGCCCCAGGATTTGAACAAACCGTTGTGATTTACCTGTGTGCTCGAATTGCCATATATATATATATATATATATATATATATATATATATATATATATATATATATATATATATATATATATATATATATATATATATATATGCGGAAAATCCACAGAGAAATATGAAAGGAGGTGAACGTTTCGGCTTTGTTAAAGCCTTTGTCAACACCAGACTGACTGAGTCAGTCTGGTGTTGACAAAGGCTTTAACAAAGCCGAAACGTTCACCTCATTTCATATTTCTCTGTGGATTTTCCGCATATATATATATATATATATATATATATATATATATATATATATATATATATATATATATATATATATATATATATATTAAAATTAACTGGTTGAAAACCCTATATATATATATATATATATATATATATATATATATATATATATATATATATATATATATATATATATATATATATATATATATATATCCTAGTATATCCTAGAAATCCTAGTAAACAACACAGAAATCATCGATAGATACAGCGATAGCAGGCGGCTTGACGTTTGCGAGGCACTACACATCAAGAAGTCAACACCAGCAATCAACAGCCAATTATTGCACAACTATATTCTACCCACCTCAAGACTCCGCTCCAATATAGAAGCATCAAGAAATATGGACCAATAGGCTTTCTACAAACACTTCTATTCAATACCCATTGTTTCTGTTCTGTCTTGTGTTGATACTTTTAATACCCTATTAATATCCCCTGTTCTGTCTTGTGTTAATGCCACATCATCCTTCCCACCTCACTCAAATGTAGATATATATATATATATATATATATATATATATATATATATATATATATATATATATATATATATATATACCGAGCCATTTAAGGGTTTTCAACCAGTTAATTTTAATTATGAAACCATTTAAGGCTTCAACCAGTTAATTGTCAAGCCATTTAAGGGTTCAACCAGTTATCAAGCCATTTAAGGCTTCAACCAGTTAATTATCAAGCCATTTAAGGCTTCAACCAGTTGTCAAGCCATTTAAGGGTTCAACCAGTTAGTTTTCAAACCATTTAAGAATTTTCAAGCCATTTAAGGGTTCAACCAGTTGTTTGTCAAGTCATTTAAGGCTTCAACCAGTTAATTGTCAAGCCATTTAAGGGTTCAAGTTAATTGTCAAGCCATTTAAGGGTTCAACCAGTTGTCAGACCATTTGAGGGTTCAACCAGTTAATTGTCAAGCCATTTAAGGGTTCAACCAGTTAATTGTCAAGCCATATAAGGGTTCAACTAGTTAATTATCAAGCCATTTAAGGGTTCAACCAGTTAATGTTCAAGCCACTTAAGGGTTCAACCTGTTATTTTTCAAGCCATTTAAGGGCTCAACAGTTATTTTTTAGTCTAGTGGAAACTTTACATATGGCATCTTATGCACCAGAAACTCTTTTGAGATACGAATATAGTAGTGAAATGTGTTTAAAGGATAATGTAAACACACAAATATATAATATACTCATTTATTAAATACAACACACGTATATATATAGATATAGTTACACCCCAAAACTATTCGTGACAATTCTTTTATTAACATTGTTAACATTCAAGAATACAGTATCCTTTCTATTTTTGAATTAATAAAAATGAAATTATTCCAGAATTAAAATTTTGAAATTGAAAAGTATCCTCATTGCTGCATCTTGTACAGCAGCAGCTGTATACAGCAACATACAGTTGTTGTATAGTGTAGCACGAAGTACACAGTAAGTACTAGCGTAGTACTAGGTACACAGGAGGTATTGAACAAGCACTAAGTATACAGGGAGTACTGGCATAGCACCAAGTACAATAAGTGGAGTACATCAAGTGTACAACTTAAGTACAGGTGTAGCCCTAAGTACACAGGAGGTAGCGTGTAGCACTAAACTTACGAGGGATATATATATATCATAGTACAAAATACAATATCTACAGTGTATGCACCACACCATTGAACTTGGTACACTGCATATACTATAGTTCCAAACGTAATACATCCTGTCAATACTGTACCACTAAGGTTGGTACAGGGCTGTACCACAGCACACAACTGAACCATGAATATGTAGTATAATTACACTCACACATGTAGTTATTCATATAGATTCATTCTATATGAATTCATTCATATAATCACATATAGATCATGTAGTATAATCCTGAGCCTGGTGATAGAGCTGTACCATAGCACAGAGGCTGTACCAGAGCAGTACACTTAGTACATGAGTACTTAGTAGCACTAATATTATTCTCGTGAACACAGGAGATACAAAAAAAAAGTATATATATATATATATATATATATCTTGTTGAAGGGATGCCAATGAGCCGGTTTTGCATAGACTAAACAATAAATAATGCATGAGAGGCAATGAATAATTTACATGTCCTAACAAAGGCATGAATAGGCAAAGGCAGTAGAGCAAGGGACCAGAAGCCAGAACACCACACACACACACTCACTCTCACACGCAGAGTCGCGGAGCTAACATACTCTCATATAATAATTTAAGTACAAATAATTAACAGTAAAATTAAAAACCGTCATCAGCAGCTTCTCCAGCAAGAGAGCACGACTAGAAAACACCCGAGAAACCAGGTCACATACCAGTGCTATGCTACATGTTTTCAGCTACCAGAAAATGTCACTAATGTGTGTGTGGGGATTTAGGGGAATTGGTGGGGGATTCTGGGGAGGATAAAATCCATTCTCCCAGGCACACAGCATCCTCCATTATCTTTCATGTACGGTATTTAGTAGCTTACAAAAGTATTTTTTTAGGGGGGGATTAGTCCACTGGACAATTTTATATGCAATCTATAACCCAGGTCTGATTTTAAGCAGATCACAAGTTGGAAACATCATATATATAATTCTATAAATATGCGAGTAAACAGCATTTTTTTCTTTCAGTTTAATACCAAATTAAAGTTTATCATTAAGGCACAATTTTTTTTTTAACAAAAAGAATGACAACTTTTTTTTCAAAATATACATTTAAAGGAATTTAAAATACTTAAGGCACTTATCCAGGTAGTTTGCAATCAATCAAAAGTTCTTTTGACATTTACAAACATTTACAAGAAGCAAACTAAAACGGAATGTAAATGCTACAATGATAAGAAAAAAAATTATAGTCTTAAATTATCAGTATTAACAACATATACACACTATATACAAAACAGGATTTATTATACAAAGAGAGAAAACTTGTTCAGAGTTCCTCACACAAGCGACGAGATTAAGGACTCTGCTTTTGTCATTCTGGACAAGTGTCACAACCAGAGGTAACATTGGACTGAAACACATCTTGGCAGCAATGCCTGACATCCTACCGTAACCTTTTTGAGTTCAATGACAAGTTCAATACAACTTGTCAGATATCAGCGGACCTTGAAAATCGAAATATACAGCACCTTGATTCTTGATAATTTATTTTACATATATTTGATTATTACTTAATAATACTGACACGTTCTCACAAATGCATGTAGGGGGCCCATAGAGGAACTTCAAGAGCAGAGTACATTTTTATCATGTATGATTAAATGATACAACTATTGTTAATCAAACCTCTTAAGGGGTGATTTTAGCATCATAAGCACAACTAGTGCAATAATCACGACTTTTGCATCAAGGAGCATTATACAAACTATATATCATAGTTGTTTTTTGCACTTGAAGTACACCTTCTCAACAGAAACAAAGTTGTAGAAAGGCTGACCTTCTCTGTCACCACCTGCCATTGCCTGCAGCCTCTCTATCCACGCCTCCTAGACCTCGAACTGCCACTGTGCCTGAGCCCATGTAGATATTAAGAGCCCTTTTTTTAACTTTATTTGTTGATATGGAGGAAGCACCAAGTGATGGCAACAGCTTGAAGCCACCGAATGAGGCACTAAATGACTCATTCAGACAAATGAAGACATTATTGAAGACTGCAGCAAAATGTTTAATATAAAAGTAACGTCTTTACTCAACTTCGTTATCTTTGTTCTAGAATCTAAAAGTGAGTCGTGTCTTAACTCCTGAAGGCAGACTAATTCCCACAGGTCCCCCCCCTCCAACCCCTGACTTTGACTGGATACAGGAAATGACTTGAGATCTACACCATTTGGTATGAACCAGACCGCCCTGTCACGAGCGCACGCAAGCACCCACCGCCTTTTAGATTGTATACGATAGCAGTTCGTAGATTCTTTGCATCCACTAATATAGAATATTAGTTCCTGGATGCTTTGTTTGATGAATTGTCCTCAGGAACCACCGCCACCCCACCCCCAGTAATGTCTTTGGTTTGGCTTCGTCTCCACCTCGTTAAATGACTTTGTGATCTGAAGGCTTTCGTTAAGTCCTTGTCGAGTCCACCAACTGCTTTATTATTTTGAGCTGACAGTTTCACTTGGACTTGCCTGGAGACTTGACAGACCGTGGGTACCTGAGGCTTGGTGTTGAAGGTGGGGGTGGCGGGGAGAGGGCTTCACTGGCCGCGCCTCTGCAGTTTGTCCACTGCAACTGCTACTTCTACACTACCTTTGCACCCCCGGAGACGCCACAGGGAGAAGTGCTACCGATCAACTACTGCCGACCTGGGTATCAGAAGTGTATGTCTGTAAGGTCTTTTGGCGTGTCGTTGATGTCGAACTCCATAGGCATGGTGGGCGGCTGCTTATTGGTGGGAGTCGACGACTGCTGCTGCAGCAGCTGCTGTTGGTCGTGTTCACTCTGTGGTAATACGGCAGTTTCATTTTCCACAACCAGCTCGATCTGCTCCAGTACAGGCATGAGGGAGCGAGGATCAAGGTTCATAGCCCCGGCGAGAGTTGAGAGAACAGTGGACCATTCCGACAAGTTCAAGCCCCGGACAGCAGCAGCGATGCTGGCTACGGCCACAGCAGAGGGTTCCACCTGGACAAACTCGGGTTCTGAAAAAGAAGGACAATACGTTAGCACTCTTTAATGAAACATTAACCCAGATATACATGTATATGTAAGCCAAATGGTCTACTATCTAAGCATTACAGGAACAACTCTTACCAGAAATTTGCCTTGTTAATATACCAGTTGCAAAGTCAATTAACGCTGCTATATTAACAAGGCAAATTTCCTGCCAGCATGATAATCGAACAACCAGTTCTGATTGATATTCAGAAATTTGTATCATGTAAAATTGGCATAGATTATGATATTGGTTTTCATGTATAATCTTATACATAAAAGTAGAGCTCTACTTTCCTTGTATAGCGACAAGAAAGACAATTCTAAGATAATAGCCAGAAGGGAAAGTGAGATTTTAAAGATAGCGGCGGCAGGATACACGAAGGAAAATAGCGATGGAGAACAGACGAACACGCTAACGAGCCTCTCAAAAGACACGGCGCTGTTGCATTCTAGAGGAAAACTGTGCAGGGGATCTGGACCCTGTCAGCCACGAGACACAACCACAATGCTCCCTTTACAAATTTCAGATACACTCGCTAGAATTGCCTCCCCCCCCCCTCCTGGAGTCCTGTGGATTTATTACCCTCTGGCGAGCTACGCAAAGGTTCAGCTCAGGCAGTATCTCACGGCAACAGACGCAATCAACACCCCCGGGTGTCCCGATGTGTAGCAGGGCATCTGAGGTCTAAATTCCCCTCCTTACTACCGTCCAAGCTACCATACCAAGGGGTATTCCACGATGAAACATTACCGGTCTGTGAGAGATGATAGGCTTGGCCTCCCGGGGGTAAACAACAGAAGCCCCCTCGCCATGACAATCCAAGCCGACCTCAGAACACATTGCAACAATGATGCCCCCCCTCGGCTGGTAGCCCCAACCCCCATCCGAGCGCCCGCCGAGACATCGAAGCGATCCCCGTTGAGCCCAGCAGGAGGACGCAAAGAGTCCTCGGGCACCTCGCAGTCTTTCCCGCTGGCTCAAGACCCAACGAGAGCGGGTCCACCTCCCGCGGCCGACATGCAAGGCCTATTGAACCCCTCCGGCTGAACGGTATTGTCCTCGCCTGTTCCATTGTTTTGCATTGTTGTTGTGTCGAACAGGGAGCTACGGGAGGGATTTGGAGACACAAGACCCGCCGGGCTAGTCCCAGTCCCCCACACGGCTCAAACTCCCACCCTTCACAACGGGGCTGTAACCTCAAAGAACTGAAAGGTACAACACCGGTCCATACACGTGGAAGAGGTGTATGATTTGTTATTGCCCCAATGCTGAAGTTATAAGGGTAACCGAGGCGGAGATATACATAATGTATTAAATCCAGAAATATATATGTATAATCCATAACGAACTTGTGAACGCAAAAAATACGTAACTATTGATTTTACGATAATGTTGGTATTACAGTACAGCATTTTCGTACTCCGTGGCGCTATTCTTTATCATGCAATGCGAAATAGTATATCTAAGAGCATTAACTTTTATAGATATGTACAATCCCCTTTCAGCCGGTCACTATATCTAACACCCATTGGCCAAGGAGGACGGGATAGGAAGCGACTTTTAGATCTGACAGGCAGCAAAGACATAAAAATCATTATCAATCTGCCAGACAAGGGCCGGCGACTATATAAAATAAGGGATAGATTAACAAGGGATAAAAAGTTGGGCGGTGGTGGTGAAGGTGGTGGTGGTGGGAGTGGTGGTGGTGGTGGTGGTGGTGGTGGTGGTGGTGATGGTGGTGGTGAAGGCAGTGGTGGTAGGGGAACACGTTTCATCCAGTGGGACAGGGTCGGAGCGGCGTGGCTCGCCTCGCTTTTATGGGATGGTGACTTATTTCCCCCCCCTCCCTTCCCCCCTTCCCTTCCACTGGCAGCTGCTCCACACACACCCGCCCTTTAAAAACAACACTTCCTCAACACACACACACACACCATGGTTCATACACCTTGGAAACAAACTGACCACGAACCTGGATACAGAACCCAGAGAACAGGCACAAGATAAAAACCATAGATAACAACAAGAACAGATATCAAGATAAAATACAAAACCACTGAAGACAAGGTCACAACACAAAAAGATAAAAATACGGTCTTTCGACCCAGAAGAAATGAGGATAAATTAGAAACGGACAAGACCGAAGAATTGCAACGAAGTCTCTCCTTAAGGGTACGAGCGGTCGGTCTATTTACCACAAGCTACCACAACAAACTTCAGAAAGCTTCCTGGCAATACGTTAGTAATTAATAAATATGATATATTTACTCATTATAATGTTGGTGCTGAATGTACAACACGAAAAAACATAATTTAATCTGAAAAAGTATCTTTTTATAAAGAAATTAGACGAAAATAAAAAGCTGGTGACGCCAAATCAAGTCGACGATCCAAGCTTCGGTTAGGTTAGGTTTGGTTAAGTTAGGTTAGGTTAGGTTAGGTTAGGATAGGTTAGGATAGGTTAGGTCAGCCTAACTTAATATATCATATTTATTCATTACTAACGTATTGCCAGGAAGCTTTCTGAAGTTTGTGTAGTTTGTGGTAGCTTGTGGTAATTAGACGGACCCGGTACGAGCAACATGAGTTAAGAGGAAGAAGACATAGATGCATCTCCAGTGGCAGCATGCATGGCAACCTGGAGAATAAATGGCAAGAGAGTTGGAGCCGAGAGAAGAATAGGGGTGTGTGGAAGAGAATAGAAGGGTGAGGGTTGGGTGGCGTAGTGAGCATGAGAGAGAGAGAGAGAGAGAGAGAGAGAGAGAGAGAGAGAGAGAGAGAGAGAGAGAGAGAGAGAGAGAGAGAGAGAGAGAGAGAGAGAGAGAGAGAGAGAGAGAGCCAGCATCACCGCGGCGTGGACGGGCCTGCCAGACTCCCTCTGATCACCACTTGTGCTGCGTTTGAATTTCCGGAATAGAGAGTGCGCACTCCGGACATATCCACTTGGGACTTCCGGCGCGTGGCCACTGTTGCATTGGCCTTTAAAGAGCTGAACGTCCGGCAAAAGCCTGGTTGGTCATAATTAGAGCCAGACTAGTCTTTGTAATCCCCACCATATCCCTATTTCCCAGTTGGAACAACAGGGAGGCTGAGAGAGGAGAAGAGGTGTGAGGTAAATGAAACACAAGGGGGGCTTATGAGGAAGGGGGCATTGCCCCCCCCCAAGTCTCTATACAAGGCAGTTCACATCTGAGGTGACTTGCTTGCACAGTTACTCATCCTGCTCCACGTCCATTTAATTGGGCGGCAGTTTTACAGTCATGTGCATAAATTACTCTAAGCAAACGTTGGTTACTTGGCTAAGATTCCTGGTAATGGGTCATGAGGTAGGAGGGCAGCGTGGCGCTCAAGGCAAGGAGGGCAGCGTGGCGCTCAAGGCAAGGAGGGCAGCGTGGCGCTCAAGGCAAGGAGGGCAGCGTGGCGCTCAAGGCAAGGAAGGCAGCGTGGCGCTCAAGGCAAGGAGGGCAGCGTGGCGCTCAAGGCAAGGAAGGCAGCGTGGCGCTCAAGGCAAGGAGGGCAGCGTGGCGCTCAAGGCAAGGAAGGCAGCGTGGCGCTCAAGGCAAGGAGGGCAGCGTGGCGCTCAAGGCAAGGAAGGCAGCGTGGCGCTCAAGGCAAGGAGGGCAGCGTGGCGCTCAAGGCAAGGAGGGCAGCGTGGCGCTCAAGGCAAGGAGGGCAGCGTGGCGCTCAAGGCAAGGAGGGCAGCGTGGCGCCTGAGACCAGGGCGACGTGTTGTGAGGCGAGGCTTGGCAGCGTATCAAGTTTGAGCAGAGCAAAAGCGCCTTGTGTCCCTCCGCGGCCACGTGGTACTGTTGCGGTGAGGCTCTCCCCCACCCCGCCCCCAGCGGGCCGCCTCCCTCACAGGTACGGCCCCACATGTTATGAGGGAGAGTGTGAGAGAGGGAGAGAGCCAAGGAAGAGCTACGCCAGCTGGTGGTGAGGGCTGGTTGAAGGTTCTTCCTTCAGCCAGCAGACACTTGGTCATCACAATGCCATCTACCAGACGGCATTGTGATGACGGCCCGCGGCTAAACCGACCAGCCTTTTGTAGCGCAATACCACACCTCGTGGCCATTTAAATGCCATACTGGCAAGCTCCTTATTAAGTTGTTCTTATCATAAGATCATTGGTTCATTACTTGAGCAGTGTCTCCTGGTTTCACATAGAGAAATCAAATAAGTTTACTTGAATAATGGAAAATAAATATATTTCACGTTGTGCGAGGGCGCACCACATCCCGTTTTCTACAGCCACGCGGTCCTCTGCCCCAACACCTGGGGTTTTAAAAATGGCGGCCAGGCTGGTTCCAACTAGTGTTTTTGTTGGAGAGAGGCTGGCAGCATCCGGCGGTTACGGTATAGCGCTGTTGTTGTTGTTAAAACACCCAATTTCAGCCATTAAACTACCCATTAACAATGCCACTGATGGAGTCTATGCACTACACCCAACTGCTTGCCTTAACACCCTGTTTCTCCTTTGCTTGACCAAGCTGCTAGTATCAGTTTACCTTACTGGACAGCCCCCCTCCCCCCCTTACCTTACCCCATTGTACCCCTCCCCACCTTACCTTACAACTCTACTCCCCCCTCCCCCCCTGTACCACACCACTTACCTGACCACATCTTACCTCACCATCACCCACGCACACCATGCCACATCACCGCTAGTACCCCTTCCCCCCCCCATCACCACTAGAACACCATCCCCTCCCCCCACCGTCCTACCTCAGCTCAGACCGTGTGCAGGCTGCTCCATGTGGAACCTGCTGCCACCTGATCCACCTTTGTCACCGCTAGAGATCCCCCCCCTTAAGGGTTCCACCTTAGTCTACTACTACTACTACACACCTGACTGTATCTCAAGCATTACTACAGGGCACACACCCGACGAGCGACACACACACCTGATATATCTGCACAAACGCTAATCCAGACTTGAGTAAAACCCAACAGTAATGGGGGGAATCTGGTTGTAAACCCATCGGCGGG